TTTGACTTTATACTCCTGTTATATATTGTTGTTACTGTAATCTGGAGCAAACACAAGCTTCAATCCTTCAGGATTAATAAAGTCTTATTTTAAATGTGATTCACATCCTAGTTTCTAGTCACAAGACTGAAAATGTTCGTGCGTTGTTATAATCAGGTGAAATGTGTCGTTTCACTGTTGAATCACATTTTGATTTAAACTTTTCTTTGATCATCAGAAATGATCCTTTGATGCTGTTACCTGTTTCCTCTGAGACGTGTCAGTGTGAACGACATCACAGAATCTGATTGAAAACATTTGAAAAGATGACAAACATGAATCTTAAACATTTGAGATTTGAAGTGAAGTTTGGTTGAAGCTTTTCTGTGACAAAAAAAAATCACAATTTATGTTTAGTTACATTTTTTGTCACCTAGCTCTGTGGCTAACATTAGCATAAGTTTACGGTCTTATTCGGTTTTTAAACCAAAAATGAATGAATTTAAAATATTTTTATGTCTTAGTTTTTTCTTGAATCTGGATGTTTTTATTAAATTGATGATGATCTGGATCTGGATCTGGATCAGGAACTGGATCAGGATGAGGATCAGGATCAGTTTACATCTCTGACTTTGGGTTCTGTTTGTTCTCAGACTCTCGGCTGTTGGATAAATCCAGTTTGACCAATGGAATCCTGAGCTGCTCTGTCAGGTAACTCACCTGTCACTGTGTGTGTGTGTGTGTGTGTGTGTGTGTGTGTGTGTGTGTTTCTGTGTGTGTTGACAGTGTGTGTCTGTTTTGTGTGTCCAGACGTCCCTGCTCTGACAGCAGCCCTGTCTCGTCTCTGCTGAACCAGAACGACCATCTGAAGAAAACGACAGGAGAGGTCAGAGAGCTCGACAACACATTACAATACAACTACAACACAATAACACACCCACAGATCATCAGAGGATCTCAGAGGATCTTGTGGGTCTCTGAAGACCCTGGTCCTCCTCAGAGACTGGAACGATCCACAGCAGCTCCATGATAACTACATGATGTCATGGTTCAAAGGAAGGGAGTGGTCAGTGGGTGGAGCTTTATACTGTTTGATCTCTTATCTCCAACTTAACCTGGAGCAGGTCAGCTGATCAGCATGTTACCATGGTGATTTACCCGGTATCAAGGGAACGAGCTTCGTAGGAATGAAAACTCTGAATCAAACCTGAAGTTAACCTGAAGTTAACCTGAAGTTAGCCTGAAGTTAGCCTGAAGTTAACCTGAAGTTAACCTGATAACCACAAATCCTGCTTCATAATTCAGATCCTGGATCAGGACGTGTTTATTCAGACCTGACGCCTCAGAATGTTTTTCCTTTTTGAGATTTTTCCGTCTCAGTTTTCATCAGACGTGATGTCTCCTGGAAACAGGAAGTGGTCACATGAACTTTTTTCCACTTGTCCTTCTTCTTCTTCTTCTTCTCTTGTTTTTTGCAGTTGGCCTTTCAGGTGCTGGAGCTGCAGCAGCAGATAAAAATCAAACTCCGTGTTCTGGACGAGCAGGATTCCAGGTGAGTGACACACCTGTGATCCACACAGCCGATTGGCTCGTCTGCTCAGGTGATTTCTGTAAAAGTCACAGTTCGGACGAGCGGAACAACAGATCCAAATAAAGTTTTCTACAACATAAAGAGATTCAGCCACATCTGAGATTTAAAGTTTACAGAGCAGGTCGTTTTTAAAACTTCAGAGGTCAAAGGTGAAAATGACCTCATATGATGTGATGTAACATCTGGACGGACTTACACTGCTCTGATTGGTGGAGAACAACGCAGGTGTTGACTCGTGTTATATGTGTGAACCGGCCCTTTAAACGGCCGATGATGTCACTGCTTTGCCTCATCCTTGGTCTATCAGCCTGTTGGCGGAGAGGCGTCGGCTCGCAGGTGCGTTTGATGTCCGTCAGGACCTGCAGGAGCGGGTGGTGCAGGTTCAGGAGGAGAACGGGGCGTTAAAGATGGAGTACGACTCCCTGCTGGAGCGACAGAGGGGGGCAGAGACAAGACTCCGCGAGGAAAAGGTCAGAGAGGGAAACCTGGTGGAGGACATGATCCACCTGAAACGACAGGCCGCCGCCTGTATGAACAACCGCAATGAACGCAGGTCCAGGTACCTGATCACACCTGATCACCTGATCACCACACCTGATCATCACACCTGATCACCACACCCGATCATCACACCCGATCATCACACCTGATCATCACACCTGATCACCTGATCACTTACTCTGATGTCAACGTCTCGTTTCTCATTTGTGCGTCAGAGCTCGTGAAGCGAACCTACAGAAGGAGCTGCAGAGCGCTGCCAGGTCAAAGGTCGCCATCGACAGGTACGTTTCACTTGGTCTCTGTTAAACGTTTCCAATTATTTAGAGAATTTAAGAAAATATTTATGAAATCATGTAAAATCAGACACAAACAATAACTGTTTTTAAAATGTTTCCGTAGCAACGGGTGTTTCAGCCAATGACTGTCAGAGAAGCTTTTGTGGCGTTTTATTGGTTTAACTTGTTTTAAAGACGACTCCAGGCTTTTATTTTGGTAGTTTAGAGTGAGAGTCTTGTTAATTGGACGTCGTTATTGTGTCACTTGTGTTTCAGCTCATTCAGCGCTCCGACGTCCAGGTCAACGTCCCCGAAAAACGAAATCCAGGACGAGTCCACAGAGCGAAGACACACCAGGCTCTTCAGGTTCGTTCACTCTGATGATTCTGAGTTTGAACTCGTCTCAGATCAGTTTAATGTCAAACTTTCTGTTTCCTGTTTCTTCAGGTCGGCGTCGGCCACGTCCCCGAGGATCCTCACCTCCTTTAGAGAACTGTTCAAGTGAGTCCTCGTGTCCCGACACTGTCTCACTGCAGCTTCTCTGGTCACTGAGTGTGTGTGTGTGTGTGTGTGTGTGTGTGTGTGNGTGTGTGTGTGTGTGTGTGTGTGTGTGTGTGTGTGTGTGTGTGTGTGTGTGTGTGTCAGCAGGAAGAGGCGTGGTCACTCAGTCTGCAGTCTGGAGGAGGATCTGAAGAGTCCTGTAGGAATCTGTCTGTCAGCCAGAGTCCCTGCTAGAGCTCTGCATGTTCTGGTAACAAACACACAACCACAGATATTTACGAAATCTCTACATGAAGATAAATATCAATTAGTTATAATAAGTCTTATTGTCTCATATTCACAAATCGGAGTTTGTCTCATGGATCCAACGCGGAGACACATCCTCTGATCATCAGGAGTCCAACTGTCAGAGTCACATGTGAGGACCAGGTTTAACATGAGTGAAAGAAGAAGTGATGACAGCTGTACTGTGTTGTTAGTAGTAGTAGTAGTAGTAGTAGTAGTAGTAGTAGTAGTAGTAGTAGTATATGTGAGTATGTATATTGTTTATCTAAACTCTAGTTTTTTTAGAATTCGGCATCAGGCTCATCTAGAATCTTCTGGCTCCACCAATCAGAGCAGATTCAGTCCCAAACATTTATTTTTCAGATTCATGAGAACTTTCTGCTTCTGACCACTAGGTGTCACTGAGACATAAATATCATTTCAGGTCACGTTTTCATTTTGAATCTTGATGAACATTCATTTTAAATATGACCTTTAGGTCAAAGTTCGACTTCACTGTGACATAAAATTGTTCTGAAGAGATGTTTCCTGCGACCTGATTGGTTCATGTAAACTCTTGTTCGTGATGATTGACAGCTCCACTATCTCTCTGTCAGGAGGCCCATGAGCAAGGCATCAACACTGTGAGGTTCAGCTCCAGCTCAGACCTGCTGGCCACTGGAGGAACTGACAGAGTCATCAAACTGTGGGAGGTCAGAGCAGGTAACTCACCTGCTGATGTCATCGTCTTCATTGTTATTATTACTATGTTTTCATGTTCACTGATGATGTCACCAGGCTCATTGACCCACAGAGCGACTCTGGACGGCAGCACAGAGGGGATCACCTGCGTCGAGTTTGACTCAGCGG